TTGACTACCTGACTATAGGTGTAGTCCTGTGGACACTCACCTGCAGATGAGCCCACTCAATAAAACATGGATTTCTTTCTGAATACAAAGGACTGCGGTGAAGATGCTGTTCTTCCAGACTTCTCTTCATGCCTCCCAAAGGTGGCTGCCTTTGTGTGTACCTTTCACATAAAAGCAACATGCAACTCACAGGACAACCTTTTAGCAATTCAGTTGGATGTAAAGTGTAAGGAAAATGTGGTGGACCTCTAAAACCTCCTGGGCTGCAATTCCTATAATCCCTCAGCATGGGTTCTACTAAGTGGAGCTGATAGGAGGCTGCCCTTTCTGGACCCCTGACTTGATGTCTGAGAGATGTTTGGAAATAGATGAGGACTTGCTCAAAGCCAGCTTTGTCACTGTGTAGCCTAATTAGTGGTGGCTTATTTATTTGTTTATTCCATTTATTTTTTTGAACTTCTTCCCTGCCCATCTAGTGGGCAAGCCACTACTCTGGGTGGCTACCAAGGAAATAGCATAGATATACAAACAAAGTTGAAATAATAAACTTACAAAGCAAGATCCCATCCTAACTCCTGCCCTATTCTAACAAGTATTCCAAAACTCAGAATGGCAAACCATGGGGCTTCAAAATTAAGATTTAAAAGGGGAAAGGTTCATTCGAACAAGTGTGAATGGACATCTCAGCATGTATCTTTGCATGTATGAAATACTCACTTTTGCCCTGACTCTGTCACTCCTTACTCTGCCTACATGGGATATGCCTTTCATACCACCAACCACAATGGACACCAGCCACCACTGGTAATCATCTAAACTACATTTTTGCATGGCATTTAAAAGCAGCTGTCTGAGGCTTACTTTCTTTTGTTTTTCTCAAGTCAGCTTGCATCTCAAAGGCCTAGACTGCCATATAATTTCCCCCCAGCCCTCTTAGGTTTTACTGCTTCCGTGTTATTTGGAATGGATTTTCTTCAACAAACTATCAACATTCTTCATCCTTAACAACTAAGGCGGGGACAGTTAATTTTTCATTCCCAGAGTCCAGCAGTGCACTAAGGGAATCAATTACCAATCTATCACTGGAGCTGGCCGTTTTATAGATCCCTTGCTATGAGCTTAGCTGACCACTGCAATTTGGGGGAGTAGAAATAACTTTTCTGCTTGAACTGCAGTTATTGGGCATACATTGAGAATGTATGGGCCAAGGTGGAATTCAGCCCCAGATTCAAAAACTAAGATGTTTATAAAAACAAAAGTCTTGCACTCAGTATATATGTAACTAGACAGGTTGCTATCACCTAAAGGTTTGACTAAAGAGGACACAAGTGGAAAATGGAGGCTCTGCTATGGTTATGCTGCTGAGTCTATGAAGTCAGAAGAGTGGGAGCAGTTAAACTCCATGGAAGCTGCAAGGCTTTAGGTGGCTGGAAGTCTCCCTGCCAATTATTCTCTGTTCAGGGTGCCACTCAAAGAATTACCAGCCCTCTAATGCATTGAAGCTTCCACAGAGTTTATCCCCTCTTAGCCATTTCCACCATCTTTATGGAGTCAGCAGCATAGCTGAGGGAGAGCCTCTGTAAATGAATAAAAACAGCTATGAGGATTCTGATTTATTGGCTAAACTGGAAATCTGGGTAGGAGAATTTCTGGGGATTGTAGTTCAAAAATTCTAAAAGTCCTGTGCCTGGTGACTTGTCCATCATTTCATGACCTTTAGGTCTTCCTGAAGGAGTCCTGAGGGGTCTATAATCCTATAAAGTTCCTCTATGGAGTGCTATACACTTCTACTGTATAAGAGTATAAAATCTTGTATAATGTTATAATATACTTTTTATATATAACGTAAAAATATGTACTTTTCTTATACATTCTCTTCCTCTCAGGCTGTTGAGAAGGTACAGAACAGATGCCTCCTACTGGTCAACTGCACTGGTTGCTGGTAGAGGGCTTTTGAATCAAGACCAAGCCTTACCCAAGCGACTCCCAAGAATGACAAATTCTTCAGATCCTTCAAAGCAGAAGCGAGAAGTTTGTGACCCTTTGGATCTTTTTGGCCTGCAACTCCTAGAAGCCCCAGCCACCACAGTCAACAGGGATCATGGAAGCCTTCAGATATGTGGAGGGCCACTGCTGCTCACAGTGGGAACAGTGGCTGGGGAACCAAGTATATAGTGCAGGTTTCCAGCCATTGGAGCAGGAGGAAATTCTATTTTCAACATAGAGGCTACCGGAAACAAAACTGCTCTATAGCAGTTCCTAGAACATAAGGAAAGAGGGAAGTGCCAAAGATTAAGCAAACAAAGCTAATGGGAGTAATGAAATATGCCCAGGCACAACCAACAGAGAAGCCAGCATGGTGATTTCTGTGTACAGGTATTAGTCTGTGTAGCGGCTGGTCTGCTACAGCAAATAGGGCACTGCCCCATTACAGCCAGACTTAAGCATTCCCACCAGCCACATTAAAGATTTGAACTTCTAGCTGCACACTTTGTGATAAGTACGCATGGAAGTGGTGGCGGAGAGCCATAACTAGGTATTTCATACCTGGTGCAAGTAATGCAAAATGTGTCCCCCAAATGAACTTTGCAATTCATAACATGAAAATAATATAATTGCAGTGCTGAACATCTTGCCAGTATCTCCACTCCTCCGCAGGGGATCAGCAGCACTGTCAGAGCTACAAAAGGTAATTTAATATGCCATACATTTTATTAAAACTACTTTCCTCACGTTCTGACTCGTCCAGACTGAGGGAGGTCCGGTCTACCCACAATCCAGTCAAGCTGGCCCTCTGTGAATCCTTTTCTAATCTGGGCCAGAGGCTTGGTCTTCTAAGATCTGGATGGATTTTCCCTTCACTGCTTCTACAGTACCTAATATCCGGACCATCTTTGCTTTGCTTTTCCCTGGAGAAATGATCTACTGTCATATTTTTGTATGACAATAGAGCCTTGTCGGGGGGGGGGGGAAGGGGCGCTCCTTAAATCTGGCATCCTGGGGCAAAGCCCTGGTGGTCCTGCCCTTGTTATGGCCCTGAGTGGAGGGAAAAGAGGGAAGTAGGAATTGGAGAGAACATTTCTGATCTGGCGGGTGGCGGTGGTTCAAGGTGTATTTTTCAGCTCCTCAGCTAAGTTGTGGCGTGAATGAGCAGCATTGGGGTTGGGGTGCAAGGGTCTGATGTCGTGTCTGAATGCCTGTCTGCTACTTTGTGTGTTTGTGCTGTGTGTGAGAGAGAACGAGAGATGACTTGGCTGTCTGCTTATGCCTGTCCTTTTGCTCCTGGCTCTGCCAGTTACTTGGAGGTCAATCATTCATAGGGTTGCCATAAGTTGGGAGTCAAACTGATGGTATGTAACAACAATAGCTGCCTATCATCTCCCACTCAGTACCTTCCACTTCACCAGTTGCAATGGCCATCAGCCACCCCTGGATGCTAAGAAACAAATACTGTAGTTTGTTCTAGGCCCCAGCTTGCATCCTTTTCCCTGGCTGAATCTTAAGGCGGGGATGCACCTGTGTGAATGTATCAAATGGGACAGCATAAATACGTAGCTCATATTGGGCTTTGTTTGGGGATATTGTTCTGGTTGTAATCATTGTTCTGACTTGCAGTCAATGTCGGGCAAGACTTGTTTACGGTCACAGCATTAACAATTAGAAGTTCCAGTGGGGGCAAAGGAGAAAAGTGCCTTATGAAAGTACCAAGTAATGTTATTTTATTAATATGTGCCCTTCAAGTCTCATGACAGATATGTGGATACCATGGACTGCCAGAACGTTGGACAACCTAAATCAAATCAAGCTTGACCTCTTTAGAAACAAAAATGACAAAACTGAGACTGCACATCCTGGGGAGAGAAAACCCCTGGGAATAGACAATGGAAGTAAAAGCTGAAGGCAAAAGGAAAAGCCGATGAAAGTTGACTCCATAAAGGCAGCTACAGGCGTGAGTTCCCAAGAGCTGAGCAGGATTATTGCAGATAGGACATTTTAGAGGTCACTCATTCATAGGATCGCCATGGATCGGAGGCGACTTGACTGCACATCGCAACAACCGTAACCCGGAGGGATTGTAACGTGATTCCCTGGCAATCCCCCTCGTGGACTTCTGCTACTCGGGCTGATACAGCTGCTGAATCGGATCAAAAACTGGCTGCTTGCACGACCACGTGCGGGCCTGTGTGTAAGCATGGGTGTGTATATGTGTGTGTGTGGGTGGGGGAGCCGGATTCCTGCACAAGAACCACCCACCCACATGCGCCGCCGCCACCGCTCGGTAGACAACACCCTTCGTTCACAAGAAACACATCTTTATTTGATTTAATGAAAACACACACACAAAAAAACAACAAAATCGCTGTTCCTTCAGCATCTCTTTCTTCCCGCCAGTCTTGGCCTTTGAGACTTGGGTGGGGTGGCGGACGGTGGCAAACGTTCCTCGAGAGCGAGCAAGCGAATTCGGAGTCGGGCCCTTTTTCTTGCCAGCGAATTGCGACGGAGGGGGTAGCGGGTGGGAGAGGCTGAGCAAGCGAATTCGGAGTCGGGCCCTTTTCCTTGCCAGCGAATTGTGACGGAGGGGGTAGCGGGTGGGAGAGGCGACAGAAACGGCTGAATGAACCGTCCGTCCGTCCGTTTCCGGAGATGAAGGCGCTAACCCTTCGCCGCTCCGAGGACGAAGAGGAGTGCCCGGCCGACACGTGCCGCCGCGCCGGTTTCCAGCGGGACTAATAATCTCCACCCCCTTGGAGGCCCTTGAATGAGCTCGCACGTGGCACTTGCCCCCATTCAAGATTTCTCCTCCTCTTAATCAGAACGAGTAATCAAGCGCTTCCGGGATTTAAACCGCCGGGGACAGATAATCCTGGGCCAAGCTGTCCCCTTCGCTCCCAAGGCCGAGCCGCCCCAGCGAGCGACACGCGGTGGGGCTGCTGCTCCTGCCTGCCTGCCCGCCCGCCTGGCTGCCGATCCACCGGGTCACTCCCTCCTGATTGTCAATGGCGAGCGCCCCACGCGGCCGTCAATGGGGGGGCGGGGGCCGCGAAGGCGTACGGGAAAGAGGGGAGGGGGCGGGGAGCGCCCCGTCTCTCGCCCCCTCCGCCCGCTAAGGAGCTTACCTCGTGGCAGATGTTGACAGCCTCCCAGCCCGCTCCGCTCGTTTGAGGGGAGGCCAGTCGGGAGGCAGCCAGCAAGCGAGGCAAAAGCGGCGAGGGGGGCGGGCGGGCTGGCTGGCGGGAAGGGCGGGAAGCCCCCTCGCCTTGCCGTAGATTAAGGAGGCGCCCACGCAGGAGCCGTCGGCCGTGACTTGCAAGCCCTCGCCTGGACCCGACTTCTTCTTCGCCGCCGCCGCCGCCGCCGCCTTCCAGCCGGACTCCAGCCTTGAAGGGGTGGCTTTCCCGGGCTGGCGCCCAGCCACGACTCCAGCGCCCGCAGCTCCGCTCGCCCAGGGCGGCTGGAGAGTTGGCTTCGCGGGCTCCCGAGCCTTCCCTGCCGCTGCTCTCTTCCCCACCCCACGCACCCACCCCGCGTCCTTTGGCTCTCCCGGGCATAACTCGGGCGCTGTCGCGGTCGCTGCTCGTGCCTTTTTTCCTCCCCCGCTCGCCTTTGTCTTCCTTCCTCGCGTCCCGCGACTCCTTCCTTGCCGGTCCGCCCCCCCCCATGCTCTTAGGCGGGGCGATGGCGAAGATCAGGGTGGCTTACGAGTACACCGAAGCGGAAGACAAAAGCATCCGCCTGGGCTTGTTCCTCATCGTCTCCGGCATCGTCTCGCTCTTCATCCTGGGCTTCTGCTGGCTCAACCCGGCCCTGCAGGACTTGCAAGGCAAGGCGGCCAACTGCACGGTGCTCTCGGTCCAGCAGATCGGCGAGTTCTTCGAGTGCACGTTCACGTGCGGCGCCGACTGCAAGGGCACCTCCCTGTACCCCTGCCTCCAGATCTACGTCAACAACTCCGAGTCCAACGCCCGGGCGCTGCTCCACCAGGACGAGCACCAGCTCCTCACCAACCCCAAGGTAAGCGACCCCAGAGCCCCGCAACCCGCGGCCGCGGCCGAAGAGCGGGACGGGTGGGGAACTTCCTTCCTCGGCGCTGCCGCTGGGCGTGGGCAGAGGCACCGGCCGCCCCGGAGGCTCGGGAGCGGCTGGCCTGCTGGTACTAAATAAAGCCGTCGGAGACTCTTGTGGCCCCTTTGAAGACAAAGAAGCCCCGATTAAACGGGGGACATCGCGCTCGGCGGTACTCTCTGCCGAATGAAGCGCGCACGTCGTCTTCAGGGTACCACAAGACTCTGCGTTGAAGTCGCCCTCGGTCCGGATAGCTGAAAGATAAGAGCCCCGTGGCTCTCGGCGGGGAAGAGAGCAGGTCCAGGCCGCCTGGGCGGTCGAGGGCGGACCGAAGGAGGGTACGGGGAACCACCAGAGACGAGACTGGGTTGTTGCGCCCAGTCCCGACGAGGAAGAATTTGGTCAGTAGCGCCCTGTTCCCGCGGGCCGGGCCAAGTGGCCTCCGGTACGGTTTGGGAAAGTAGCATTCTTCCGCTGTGTTGGGACTTCATGGCGGCCCCATAGTAGAGTTTTCGAGGTGATGTTATCTTCAGAAGGTTCAGTGGCTGGTTTGCCCTCGCCCTCACCAAGTGAGTTTCCATGGCCCAGGGGTAACCAGTCCTCGCCCAACGGGCCGGCCACCATATCACACTGGTGCTCACCTTGACTGGAGCTTCCCAGACTGAGGAGTCAGCAGGCTCCATGGTTATATTGCTTGGGAGAGCCTAGGAATTGCAAGCCCAAAGGGAATTCCCCCCTACATAGTTCCTAGTTAGAGGAAAGACTCCTGTTTCTTTTATTAGCCTCAAGGGCCAGGGATCTTAAGGTGTGTGTGTGTGTGTGTGGGGAGGGGGGTAGATGAAACTGCTGTGGCAATGGTAGCTTGCCATACGGCCTTTCCGTCTTTCTGGAATGGAAAGACCACTGGCAACTCTGGTGATTTCTCCAGAGTCCAAGAAGCTGGCCAGGTGTGCCCTTTGTCCAGAACACAATGTACTCTCTCCATATTAATGTGTGCTCTTCTGCTTAATAAAACCTCCTCACCATTGAGGATCTGAAACCAACAGAATATCGGTAGAGTAGTTCATCTTGGAAAAAGGCCTCTTTCTGAGGGACTCTGCGGGCATGTTGGCGGTTCTGAGCATTCTCGCCCAGGACAGAAACTTTGGCAAGCTCTGGAAAACAAGCTGCACACATGTAAATTGCAGCAAGTACAACTTGTCCCAAGCAGGGTTCTGAGGATTTAAAAAAAGGGGGGGGGATGGGGGAGGTATTTCCTGAAATTCTATGCCAGTTATATTCAGTGTCTGCCCCACCTTTCCTTCATTGAGCTCAAGCAGGTATACAGGGCTCTCCAGCTCCGTGTTTTATCCTCAGAGCCTCCCCCTGTCTGTCTGATCATGAAATGTGTGGAGGAGGGGGATTTGTGCCTAGTGACATGCGGCTACCTATGCTGCAACCTAGTCTTGGGGGAAAATCTTCTCTTCAGTATCAGAGAGTATGCAGTAAGAAGGGTACTCCTGAGAATGTGCAGAGTATGCTTCTTTTGAAGGTTAAAATTGTGCAAGCTCCAGGACCGTATATTCTGTCCATATATACCTTGCTATAAATGACAAACTCCAGGATATTGAACACCTTGTGTTTGACCCAGGTTCAGGCTGGATATAGGCAAGAGGTACTGATATTATCTGTTCCAAGCCCTCAGAAATAAAGCTCAGGCGACTGCCTTGGTCCACTAGCTCTTCACTCCCTAAACTACTTTGCAGTAGAATTCTGAGAATAATCTTTTTATGATGCAGCGCTCAGTAGAGCCAAAGGACACATGAGGTAAAACATACGGTTTGGAGCTCCGTGTTTTACGAAACGAATAAATAGCCAGGTTTGTATGGAGTTTGCTAAAAATGGGGCTGCAATACAGAGAGGAGTTTTAAAAACATTTTCCCCCCTGCTTTGGTTTGGACTAGAATCACCCCCTCCTAGCTCCTGTTTGGTCCATTGAGAAATGGATACAAATAGCCTGTAAAAGAACTTTTGGCCATTTCCCTTTTATGGAGCAGGGACCTCTCAGGGAGTCCTCCTCTAGTCTCCTTTCACATTTCTCCTGGTCTTTTCCCACCATGGCGTATGCTGAAAGATTCTCCTAAATCCTTTGTTGTCTACATTTTATTAGTTCACCCAGAGAATCGGTGTGCTGCTAAGAGTTTGGCAAAGAACCACGGCCACACTTTGGGAGAGGAAAGTGGGTAGAGTTTGATCAAAGAAGCAAGATAGTTACTAACTGACTGAAGGGAATGAGCCAAATGTTGATGCATGGCAGCCTGGAGCGGTGGGATCCCTTAAAGGTAACGGAGGCCACGGTGGCAGATTGTCGCTATGCCACTCAAATACGGAGACATCTCTCAGGAAATTAGATGCAGTAGTTGATCTGCTCCCCCCCCTCCAAGAAGCAAGAGAAGCTGAGAGCTTGTGTTTCAAGCTCTCAGTAGGCTTGAAACACAAGCCTACCGAGAGCTGGTCACACAGAGTAAGGTGAAGAGAAGGAAGGTTGGGAACCAGAAAGTTTTCTGGTGCAAACCGAGCACCTATCATGTAGCTTTTAAATGGCCTGGGGAAGCCATTCTGTCGGAGACTCTTCCCTCTGCAGGGACAATAAATTACCTTGCAGACTTGTGGCAAAGGATTACAACTAAACACTGCATATAAAACACTTTGAACAGTATAAATTGCTAGAAGAAATCCTTTTTCTTATTATTGTAGCTGTTTCTTGTACATACAATTAAGAAAGTAAAGTTGGACTCCTCAGATCAGTGTATATGTTTGCACGACTGTGAATTCTAGTTTGCAAGAATGTATGCTTGACAGGGAACAGTAAGCAGTGCCAATTCTTCTGGTAAATTATTCTATGTGATATGTTTATTTTCGAATTGTGTTGTATTTCCAGTTTACTTTTTGGGTAGTGTATTTGAAGGAGCTTCTGTATATGTCTTTTCTTTTTTGTTTAATAAAGTTTTAAAATTAAAAGAAAAGAAAATGCCACGAGTTTGTTAGCTGTACAATATATTTTTCTTTAATGATGACAGTGAACAGATGTGATGAGTTTCTTTCTTCTTCTTTGTTGGTAGAAATACCTCTGTCTCCTAATTCATTGTAGGGTAGTAGTAAACATATTACAGCAAATTACTTTGGCTTTTAAAAAACATCTTTAGCAGCTATACGCAGTTGGAAAGCTGAGTGATAAAGTCATGTCTTTGGCCATCATGAACCAGTCTCTAAACCAACACTTAAGCAGGCTGTGCATGCTACAATAAACTTGTTAGACTGGCGATGAAGGTACAACAATTCTCTTTGTAGGGGGAGCTTCATGTCACAATGGTTAAACTGCAGCATTGCAGTCAAGATTCTGCTCACGAACTGAGTTTGTTCCCAATGGACTTAGGTAGCCAGCTCAAGGCTGACTCAGCCTTCCATCCTTCCATGGTCGGTAAATTGAGCTTGCTGGGAGGCAATGTGTAGCTTGCATAATTAAACTGTAAACTTCCTAGCGAGTGCTTTAGGTAGTATGGGGTGGGACATAAATCTCTGTTTTGTAAATGTCCACTTTCAGACTGGATCTGGGAAAAGCATGGCAGTTGACTATGCTGCGGCTAAGGGGGAGATTTTTGAGAGTTGTAGTTCATCAAAATAAACTTCTGAGAAATAAAATAAACTTCCCGAAGCCCTCCTACCAGCCGGTATTTGCCTCTTAATCAAATTCTCAAAAGAAGGCTTTCGGGGTTTCATGGGCGGGCTCTTGAACAGTGGCACGGAATTTTAACAGCAATAAACCATAAACATTCAGAGCTGCCAGGAAATAAGGATTGTATAGAAGCATTGTTGTCTCCCGCCTGAAGGGCTAGTGACCAATGAGCTGTTTAGCTGAAATATAGCAATAGTGGCCTGGTGATTCTACCCCCTCTGCTTTCCTTCCTCTAGGCTTTGATTTTTGATCCTAACTTTCCTTTGTATTAAATCTTCCTTAGCTGCTTCTTGCTTCACCTTTTCCTGCTCTTCAGTTAAAATTTCCTAGTGGCACAAACAGGTGGTTTTGGATGTATCACTGAAGTACCCATCCTGTTACTGTAGATGAATAAGGGAGAGAGTGGTGGAAGAATCCAGCTGTTGAATGCTGTTTGGTGTGAATCATGCATGATTATTGGCTCATGACAGAGAGCTACTGGTAAACTGTAAGGTTCAGGAAGTTGGAACAGCAATGTACTGTGGATGGCGTGTGTAGGCAAAGCGATCTCGAAAAGATACTATCACTATTTTGTACAAATGCCCTAAATTTCTTTTCTTCCTCTTTTTTGTCCTTCGTATTTGGCTCAGCTGAATGTTCCTCATTTGAATGCTAGAATGGTTGTGTTGTGATTTATTATAACGTACTAGAGTTCCAGGAGCAGCATCTTGTTCATAAGCATACCCTTCAGAAACAAAAAGGAAGTGCTAAATATAATCATGGTCAGATATAAGTAAGCCTACCAATTTGGAGAGCAAAAAAGAAAAACTTTAGGGAAGATGGCGGAGAGAGTGTATGAGACGAAAGTGAAAGAGGGTGACTCCGTGGCACAGATGGTCAGGGGACCTTTATTCCGGGGAATAGGGAGAGACGCATGTCATGGCTGGGTAGGGCCCAGAGATTCTGGAAGCAAAAAAAGGATCTAAGTTCTGGAAGGGCCAGAACCGGCAGTGAAGCTGCAAGTGGTCAAAGGTGAATTTGATGGCAAGCCATCCATTTTCTTGCTGTAATTCTCTTCTGCCAATTTCCATTTCTCCTTATCTCATTTTCCTTCTCTCTCTCTCTCTTGCTCTCTCATTTCCTTCCCTTTCCTAAATCCTCACCCACCCCCAAGGAGGTAATTGGAGTTCCAGTGGGGAAAAAGATCCTTTTTGTGTAAATAGGTTTCCCCTCCTTTTGGCGAGTCTTAATTTTT